TCGATTTGAGTTAGCGTACCAGTCGATCTGGAGCGCCACGTTGCCGTCCGTCGAGAGCTGTGTCGGAAGTTGGTACTGGATAGGAACAGATGATGATCTGCGCAGAACAGATGTCGATCACCGTTCTTTGTTCGTTGACAGGACAGGTCAGTTACCAGCTAAGCTTATAACGAACTCAGTTTTCCAACCTGTGCAATGAAGTCACCTGCAAGTACAGCTATATCGGAGCTTCGACTCATCCGAACGGGACCGATGAGTCCATCATAGAAAGCTTCCTTTTGTGTATCAGAACCGCAATTTGTCGGTGCATATATCGACATGATGAACAAACATCTTATAGTGTTGCTTCCCTTCCGGACGCTAATTGAACCCTGAAGACGAACTGCATATAAACGAATACTGACGGGGATCCAACTGATAAGAGAGGACTCCACCCTGTTACTGAGTACAATACCTACCCCGCTCTGACTTACTACGCGGCCTTCGTCGTCGCCTGATGTACGCAGAACGTATCTCTTTAGACAAATCCAACGCGCTCAAGTGGCTTACAGTAGTTGGGTCCTGGAGTCACTTCTCTGATACGCAGCAGACATCAATCCCAAAAGAGTCCATGGTACGTGCCAGAAAAGCTCGTGGACCTATATGCATCAGAGTCCTCACGTTGAAGGCATCCAGATCCAGTGTTTGACGAGGCTTTAGAATCTGCAATCCATTTCGTGGTACATTATTGACAGTGCTACTTGACAACGACCTTAGGCAAGCGACATCCAAGCTACTCGAGGAACTATTATAGGTCGTCAGAAGGGGCAAATGGAGAGGGTTGGGTACAGAAGACGAAAAATTAAACCAAGGTTGGGATATCTGAGCGGTAGCTCACCCTTTGGGCAGTTGCTTCTTTATCCTTATTTTATCAATACTACTTTCGATTTTGCTCTAGTGAACTTTCCGTTTCTGTTCCTCCCGCTTATTTTTTCTCGTAGATCCCAAGCAGAAGCGGCCACCCACCCGTTTCAAGTGACTTTCCCCAGATGTCGCATCTCTAATTTTCAATCATCTTTTTCCCAAGAGCAGCACAACTATGGAATACTCTCCACCTTTCATTCTTCCCTCTATCTTACAACATCCTTTCTTTTGAACGCAGAATCAACAAGCTGGTTCTAGCTTGAATGTTTCCCTTGCCTTTTCACTTAGAGTATATCCTCGGATCATGGGGTTTACCCCCTTAACTGCATTCACTTTTATGTAAAAAAACAACGGCTTTTTACTCATTCAATCCAAACTATCCGGTGAGGTGTGCGCCACCAAATGTGACTAGAGTCTCAATCTCAACTGATATGCTTCCTTGCTTTCTGTTATACTCAGTTGTTACTAATGATTGATAACAACTAAAACAAGGCTAATAGTTGTCGTTTGTTGAACTCCGATTCTTTATATTCAGGTAGATTGGCGTCGCTCGTTTATAACCACAGAAGTCAATCCTTTCTACGATTCGTTTGTCCGATGGCAGTTTCTTCTGTTAAAGAAACGGAAGAAAATCCTATATGGAAAGCGTTACACAATTTTTTCTCCTAAGGATAATCAGCCTTGTATGGATCATGAGCGAAGTGTTGGAGAAGTAAGTTCTACAATTTTTGATCAATATTTTTGCTTCAGGGTGTCGGGCCACAAGAGTACACGTTGATCAAATTAAAGCTGTTGTCAGATCCACCAAAGCAACTACGGTGAGTTGGATGTACCACTGTTTCCCGATATCATGTTAAGCTCCCTGTTTCTAATCACTGCTTTGTTTGCAGTGAGGTTGTAAACAATTATCAGAACTGTCTTGCCAGTTATATTATGATCCAGTCAAGTCAAATAATAACTTGATTGAAAATGTATTTTTTATAAATTCGGACTGCTTTTCTCTATATTTGCCTGTTTTTTAAACCTTGACAATGGTGATTCCTTTGGTCGCTTCGCAAATTCGGTTTTTCAGGAATAAACCAGTGTTTTTCACGGCAGCTCGGATGGTTCATTTCGGTTCAGTTTGTACAACTATTAACCATAAACTTTCTTGTAGCGGTTTTAGTTATTGTGTTTTGGTTGCCCGCTTGGATGAAGGCTGCTGCTGTTGTTTAGAGGAGAGAGGATCGTTAAGCTTAAAAGCAAACGCAAACAATTCAATACCACGCTTATCCTAAGGGAGCTTATGTGATCCACCACTCCAAATCCGTGGGCATCGGTTGCCGGTTTCCATCACTGAGTAGTAGGGTTGTAGATTTATTATTGTCCTTTCTGTTGCCCAGATTGCTGTTATTCTGGGCGCATACGCTAACATTTCGCTTGTCCCGTTTTATCTCTCATGTCTCGTTTTTGGTCGATTAAAGCCTATCAGTCAGGCGTTGTCTTCTGGCTTGTCTGCCGGCTAAACGTGTGGTCTGATACACCACAAGTTTTCATCAATCATATAATCAATTACAAGTAGATCTAAGTGACTATGGAGTTCAGTACGTCTCCTTTTCATCACAAAAGTGTGGTAAAAAAGATCGGTTTTTGAACAATACTATCTGCGCTGCGTTGCACCGTGACACCCACGTACGCACTGACTTGTGTATAAATGAGGTAATTAAGCACTTCGACTCATTTATCAACGCCACCCTAAGCGATGGACAGAACATTTCAAAGCTCAGTTCAGTTGACCATCATCGGTGTGAGGTCTTTCAACCCTACCTCCACTGGACGTATACTGCCAGTTGATATTAGTCCTGATGTTGAAATGAAGTTTCCCCTGGGGAAGTGAGTTATCTCAGAAGTTATAAGTCCCGTGTCCCTGACGGGCGCTCTCCGTCGACTTTCAAGGATTGAGGTTCATCTTTGGGCTTGGAGTTAATGACACTCCGGTTTTCGGTATGGGAGGGTGAACAGATTCTAATCAAATGGTGCGACTGTTCCGTCTTATCGATATACGAGAAAGTCGGCATATCTTGTGAAAACCACAGGGGAACTGGTTTTATCAACATTGTAATCGTCTCGCTGCCATCATACTCCATCCATCCTTTGTTTAACTCTGTCTTCTATACCCAACCCTCTCCTTTTGCTCGTTCTTCCGATCCGTGACATCCCATCAACCAACTCGTTCGTCAAATGCCGAAGGCCGTTGCCAAATAGCACTGTAAATAGTTTTCCTGTAAATAAAGTGTTGATAAAGTTCATCTCCCAATCTGGGGACCTTCAACGTGAGGACTCTTATGCAGGTGGGTCAACAAGCGAGTCTAGCGCGTACAGTGAAGGCTTTCCACGAGGTATTTTCTTCGTACATCAGGAGACGATGAAGCCCGTTCAATGGGTCGCGTGGTGTAGGGATCCTACTAAATGATACAGCTGAAGCCTCACTGATAGATCGGATATCCGTCAATAGTCATTTGTGCGCAATGAGGCTCCAGGGTTCGGTTGATGTTTGGAAAGTCAGCAACATCAAAAGGTGTTTGTTTATCATTTCAACATATGCACCAATCAACTGCAGTCTCACTTCACCAAAGGACGAATTTTACGACACTCGTCGAGCTCATTCGGTTGAGCTGCAGCTCTGATATTATTGTACTGGCAGGTGATTTTAACGCTCAAGTTGAGAAACTGAGCGCATCCGACGCCTGTATTGGAGTGTACTTCGCTCTTCCCGCTTAGCGAGCACACATCGGATCATCGGTTTTTATCTAGCACCAACTTTCGACACAGCTCTCGTCGAACAGCTACGTGATGTTCTAGTTAAACTGGTACGCTAACTCAAATAGACCACATAGTGGTGGTGTGGTTCACTACAAAACTGCAGATCCTATTGGACCACTTGCGTTGAGTCGAATCATGCACTCATTCTGTAAGGCTTCGCTCTTCGTCTCATAGGTTATCGGCAAAAATCGCCTCCTCTGTTAGCTCTACATCGTCTGCGCGATCCATCTGTCTGCGCACGCTATGAGAAGCTGGAACAGGAGTTAGGTGAACATTGACATAGTGGAATCAAACTAGATTTGCGATGCAGCAAACTTTTTTTGTGGGATCGAGCCTGAAGTTCATCCGAAGGCATTGGATCTCTCAGAAGTCAGGAAACCTGACGGAGCAAAAGATCTCAATCTGCCAGGATCAGCGTAGGAACCGGTGGCGCCTGCAATGTCAACTCAGGAAAGGCCTCAAAGAAGGTCGCGATATCTAGTGGGCCAAAATAAGTAATGAAATNGAGAATAATCAAAGACTGCTTCACCTGACACGCAGCACCGGAGGTCGTCACCTATTAGTCAGTGAGATCATTTGCAATAGAATGACAGAGTAATCATAACAACGAAGAACAACTTGATCAATGGGCAGAGTACTTAAGTGAACAGTTCAGTTGACCCAGTGCTAATGCGGCGGAAACCCCGTGATTGGTGACATGTGAGTCCCCATTAGAATTGAAGGCGCGAAGCTGCATTCAATCACTAAAGAAAGGGAAGGCAGCAGGACCTGATGGGCTTCTCCTTATTCTCTTGTTGACTCGATTACTAGCTTTTGTTGGCAGCATTCGGTCGGAGGAGCGTATCCCTTCATCCAGGAGTGAATTGCTGATCGTCCCGATATTCGAGAAAGGATGACACAACGACCACGCGGGATTAGTTTATTTCCAACAATCACCAAAGTGTTGACTTCTGTGATACTTCGTCGCCTGACAACTTTAAGGGAGATGAATGTCCGTAAATAGCAAGCCGGATTCCATCCAGATCGCGGTTTCATCGACCAAATCTACACTCTGCGTCACACATCGTCTGCCAACAATCGCGGTGTTCCTTGAACTAACAGGAGCTTTTGATTCATTTGACTGTGAATCACTTACGGGTTCACTCCTTCGCAAAGAAATGTCGCAGAAGTATGTGAACATACTGAGTTCATTGTAGTCACATACCTCTGGTAGCGTAAGGGTCTACAGTGAGCTGAGTAGGTCATTCGTAACTAGCAGCGGTGTTCGCCAAGGGTGCCCTCTTTCGACATTCCTGTTCAATTTCGTCATAGACGAAATACTGGAGAACACACTAAGTAGTCTCCAAACTGTAGATATTGAATGGGCAGCTGGAGAAAAGCTGTGCGATTTGGAGTACGCTGACGACATCGTTTGCTTGCTCGAGTGTATGGAGGATGCACAAAGAGCACTTGACAGATTAGCAAGTTCTGTCGCTCCGTCCGATATGTGCTTTGCACCTTCAAAGTGCAAAGTGATACTACAAGACTGGGTGTCACCGAGTTCTGTTCTGAAACTTGACAGTCAGGAATTAGCTGAAGCTGACTACTTCCCGTACTTAGGTAGGTGCGTGACCAACGACGGTAGCGCACCAATGAAGATAATCGCCCGCATTTCCAAGGCTCGGGTAGCGTACACAGGACTAAAACATCTGTGGCGGCGACGTGACGTGTCACTAAAGTTGAAAAATCACGTATACTGCGCCACTGTACGATCAGTTCTGCTGTACGGTTTTGAGACCTTGAACTTGCGGGTAGAAGACATCCGTCGCATAGCGGTTTTCGACAATCGATGCTTACGTAGTCTGGCCCAAGTGGGATGGAGTGAGCGGGTTAGTAACTTATAAGTAAGTCGTCGGGTGTTTGGGAATACATCAAACAACAACACACTATCTCATCGAATCCAGCTCAGTAGGCTCCGTTGGTTAGGACACGTTTTGGGTGGATGTTTGTCTACCTAAACGGCGTCAGACGTCTAAGCCTAATGGAGGCTAATAATTTGGTGACGATTGGGATCAAACTGATTTCACGGTGGTTTGCGCAGTCTTTGCGAGATCCCTTCCTAACAATTAGAACGATCAGTGATTCGCTCCAGGATGATGGAATGCGCTCGTGTAACCATATCGTACGCATGAAATCAGTAATGGAGTCTACAAAGTCATCGCCCCCATCTTGAAAAGAGTGAGAGGAAGCCCGACTGGCTCTCCTGCTTTTCCTTTCTTCAGGGCTTGGATGCATAATCGAAGTTCTGCTGCAGTGGGAATTTCACAAGACACTTCTCATGGAGCATCAACTACACCAGACGAGATGGTCTGATTAGAAGCTGGCCAGTTGAACTGTTCGTTGGAGTGCTCCGCTCACTGGTCAAGCTGTTGTTCCCTATTGTGAATAGCCCACTTTTGTTGCAGATTGTTTCACTTACTGTGGTTCGCCGACCTCCTGTGTTGCATATCATTTGGAAAAGTCCTTGACTGTTCCCTGATGCTGCTGCTACTTCCATTTCACTAGATATCGTTGCCCACCAGTTCTCACGGTCTTTCTTGAGGGTCGTCTTGAGTGGACGTTGCAGACACCGCCTACCCCTGTTTTGATCCCGGGCGGACGGGATTTGCCACTTTTTCTCCATCTACTGACTGGTCAAGTATCCGGTGCCTCGGGCGAGCTACCGCCTCAGGTTCACAAATAACTCTCGCTGCTGAGTACATTTCTCGTCTAATCTGATCTCACTGTTGATCTACACTATCGCCCCGCAATGCTCTTAGCTATTGTCCGAGTTCTGATTCAAAACGGGCACGAACGGCTGGGTCAGATAAACGATGATCTGCCAACTGATTTTGGTGAGGTTTTCTACGACCAGTGAGTTAGATAGTGAAGTTCATCAAAACTAGCGCATGATCAGATTCAACGCAGGTAGTCCAATAAGACCTGCAGTTTTGTACTGAACCACGCCAACGGTAGCTTACTGCTATGTGGTCGATTT